TGTGTGAGTGTGTGTGTGGTACTAATTTATTTTGTAGTAAATGAGTGGCCCATGTTAGGGTACTTTGGGCAGAATGCACAGAAAAAACACTATCGAGAAGGCTGGCTTCAAGCCTACAGAATTATAGCTTACTTTCTAAATCACTGTCAGAAGCTATTGAATTAGTAATAAAATCAATTTCAGAAAAACCTAGGTTGAAATCACTCATACTTCACACATGTAACCAACAGTATTTCCAAACTTGTTTTCTAATCTCTAAAATAGGTCTAGTGGCATCAAAACCACTGAGGATCAAAATGAAAGAACAGCCTAAAGAACCACAACAATAAATGTTGGCAATTGTTGTATTGGTATCATTAGTCTAACCTGCCTTTGGAGGTTTGTGTTATTAACTTTTTGTTGTTGTTGCTGAAGGTATTACAGATGTCCCCTTTCTTCTCCATTGGCCCTCTCCTTCCCACTCCCACCCCCTCCTGCCTTCCCCAGCCTAGCATCAGTGTCAATTGATTCATAGGAAGTTGAAAAACAAAAATGTATAGGGTGATCCCATGTACTCGTCACTCAGTTCCCCCCAATGGAAACTTCAGAAGTCTAGGGCAATATCAAAAGCAGGAAATAATTCAAAGAGCTTATTCAGATGATTTTTTTTCCCATATTTTGTTCAGATAGAGTGGGGGGGGGGAGAGAGAAACATCGATGTGAAAGGGACACATCGAGTGGTTGCCACCTGCACGACCCAACCAGGGCCAGGGACAAACCACAACTGAGTTATGTACCCCTAGTGGGAACTGAACCCGGGTCTCTCTGGACCGCAGGCCAATGCTCTAACTGCTGAGCCAAACCAGCCAGGGCCTTATTCAGATTTTATAAGTTTTACGTGCATTCATTTGTGTGTGTGTGTGTGTGTGTGTGTGTGTTTCTATGAAATTCTATCAAGTGTGCAGGTTTTTGTAACTACTGCCGAGAATAAGGTAAAGAACTGATTCATCACCACAAGACTCCCTTGTACTGCCACCTTTGTAGCTATATCCACCACCTAATCTTTGGCAACCACTAATCTGTTCTCTATACATTTATTTCAAGAATGTTATATAAATGGAATCATTCAGCATGCGACCTTTTGGGATTTGCTTCCCCTACCCCCCAGCATCATTTCTTTGAGATTTACTGAAGGGATAGACATCACTCATTATTCCTTTTAGCTGCTTCACAGTATTCCATAGCATGGATGTACCAGTTTGTTTTACCCTTCATCCCTTCAAAGGCTTTTGAGTTGTTTCTAGTTTTTGGCTATTATGAATAAAGCTGCTATGAATATTAACACAAAGACTTTGTGTGAACATAGGTTTTCATTTCTCTGGGATAAAAGCCCAATAGTGAAATTACTGGGCCAAATGATCTTTGCAGGTTTAGTTTTGTAAAAAGTGACAAATTGTTTCTCAATTGGCTGTACCATTTGTGTTCCTACCAGCAACGTATGAGTGATCTAGTTCCTCTACATTCTTGCTAGCATTTGCTTTCTCACTGTTTTTCATTCTAGATATTCTGTTAGGTATGTATTGATATTTCATTGTGCTTTTAATTTGCATTTTCCTAGTGGTTAATGATGTTGATTATCTTTTCATGTGCACTTACCTGCTCTATATGCTCTTTGAGGAAATGTCTGTTCATGTCTTTTGTTGATATTTTTAGTTGGATTGTTGTTTTTTTATTCTTGAGTTTTGAGAGTTCTTCATATATTCTAGATACAAGCCCTTTGTTAGATATGGCGTTTGTCAACATTATCTTGACGTCTGTATTGTAGGGATGGGGGTTTGGTGGATGAACAAAATGTAACCTTGTGATATGCATTCTCAAGCCTGGCCAGCCTAGGATCAAAGTGTGTGTTGACAGGTAGGTTTGCCTGGAGGGCAGGAAGACCACCCTCGTTTGGAACTGAATGTTTTGTTTGCATGAAAATAGATAAGGTTTGCATGTCAAAGGGTTGGAAGACCACCCTGAGCGAATAATGGGCAAGGAAGGCCAGGTATTGATGGGTTTGTTATTTATTTATTTTTTTATCTCTTTTGATGTTTCTTCTCACTGTAAAAAGTAAAGAGAAAGGGCTTGCCTGTATGGTCAGCAGAGATGCCATCTCAAGGAAATAATTACCTAAATCAACATGTAACCTGGGGAACCCCTTTGCAAATAAATTGGGCTGCATCCAGAGATCTGTAGCATTTGCTCTCTTGCGATGTTCCCCCTCACTCTAACTAGTTTGTGATTGAAATTCATTGCGTTGCACCGACGCCCAGCAGGCCAAGAGAGATGGCATGTATGTTGTCTTTTCATCCTCTTAGATAGGGTCATTGCAGAGTACTTTTTTATTTTTCATGATTCCAATTTATTATTTTTTTCTAATAAATTTTGCTTTTGAGCCCTGGCCGGTTTGGCTCAGCGGTTAGAGCGTCGGCCTTCGGTCCTGAGAGACCCGGGTTCGGTTCCCGCTAAGGGCGCATACCTCAGTTGCAGTTTGTCCCCGGCCCTGGTCGGTTGTGCGGGTGGCAGCCACTCGATGTGTCCCTTTCACATCGATGTTTCTCTCTCTCTCTGTTCCTCTCTCTCCCTCCCAGTCTACCTGAACAAAGGATGGAAAAATGTCCTCGGATGAGGATAAAAAAATAAAATAAAATAAAATAAAAAATTTTAAATTTTGCTTTTGATATTTAAAAACTCTGCCCAGCCTTAGGCCACAAAGATATTCTTCTTTTTTTTTTTTGTCTAAAAGTTTCATAGTTTTACATATAGTTGTACATTTAAGTTTGTGAACTATTTTGGTTTAATTTTTGTATTAGGTGTTAGGCTTAGGGCAAGGATTTCTGGAGGGTTTTATCACTGGGTTCTGGACATCTGGATACATTTTTTTTTTTCGTTTATTGATTTTAGAGAGAGAGGAAGGGAAAGGGAGAGAGAGAGAGAGAAACATCGATGAGAGAGAACATTGATTGTCGCCTCCTGCATGCCCCCCACTGGGGATCAGGCCCACTACCTGGGCATATGACCTGATCGGGAATCGAACTGGCGACCTCTTGGTGCATGGGTCAATGCTCAATCGCTGAGCCATTAGGATACATTGTAGCCCATGTTCTCCCTGTCTACTTCTCTATATTCCTAGACATTATTTCATGTCTACCTTAAATTTCACCTCTTTTACTCTTTCATTCAATCTTTTTCAGTTGTTTTACTCCAGACTGACTTTCATCTCTGATTTCTTACTGCCTTACTGATTTAAAGAATGTAATTACGATTGACATGAGTCATGCTGATAATATGATAATAGCATGATGATAATGTTAATATGTTTGTCTTTCCCCTCAGCACTGTAAGTCTGTAGAGAGGGAGGAGCATATCTTTCTCTTTCTTAAAACCTAGGCCAAGATTTTACAGATAGTAAGGACTCAATGATATTAGTAGAATCAAAATGAGCAGAATCCTGCCAAGCTTATATTTGCTAGAAGAGGAGAATGTTCACTTATATGTGCATCTGTATTTAGATGCAACATAAAAGGACTTTTTAAGGCAAAACTGAGTGGAGAGGTCAGTACCATTCAAACTGGATCACTCCTGACTGCTCACACCTGCTGTTGTACAGGTTGGAACCTGTTTACTTGGGTCAATGTGGTCAGGGTGGCAGCTTGCACTGTCCAGCACCAGTAGTATGGTTTGTTCGAGGATGTTGAGGAAAGGCATACTGCTGATTCTTAAATACTTTTTTAATCTATTTGACTGTGATTCAGCTTAAAATTTTGAAATTATATGTGTGTGCACATATTTTATACACACATACGTGCACACTCATAACATATGTATGTTGTTGCTGTTTCCTCCGAGTAGCCTACAAATTCAATCTTTTAGAAATCTCCTCTGCATGTTTTGAACACATCTAGATGCCCATTAATTAAGGACTTCTGGCCATCGTGACCCACTCCATTCTAGTTTCCTAAAGACCTTCTGCTTAGGTGACAATAGTGGGGTGTGCAAATTCATGCTATTTGTTCACATATGTCTGAAAGCTCAAAAGCACAAGTCAGTACATTTCTACAGAAAAATCTTCCTAATGATTATAAAAAAACTTCTTTCTTCTTAGGGAAATTAAAAAAACATTGAGGGAAATGGTAAGGCCAGAAAATTAAATAGTTTGCTAATAAATGATTCTTATCAGGATATGAGCCATGGTACAGGGACAGATAAATTTTTTTGTGTTAAAGTTATTTGGACAGGTTTGCTATAGGATGATTTTGCAGCATTTAATTCTGAGCTCTGCTCATTATTTGTTAGACATTAACACATGCTCATCCCCCAACACACCAAATAACCTTTTAAGAGATAATTCTATTAATAGTTAAGAGGATTTACAGACTTAAACTGTATTTTTTGCAAAGATATACACAACACTAAGCAAGAAAATTGTCTCTTTTTGAGGAAATAACGTTATCTAGTGGTAGAAATTCATGCTTAGGAAATTCACTTTAGAAAATTATGATTTTAGGGAAAACATCCCTTTTGCTCCTTAATGTTTGTATGTTCCTTCACTGGTATATTAATTTTTTTTATCTAGCAAATTTTGTAGAAAACAGTCTATAATTTTTCTTTTATTACTACTATATGGGATATAATCTTTATAACAGAGAAAAACATTCAAGGGTTAATAGCAATAGTCACAAAAATTTGTCAAAGTATTCTACTTTATAAAACATTATCTCCTGAAACAAACAAAACAGAAATGAAATCATTTGTCTTGGTAAAGGAAAGTTGTTTAGGTTGGAGAAAATTGGACAGATCAGGTAATTATAATCAAGGTTTTTGGTGTTTCTCTTGGGGTTGACTTGAAAACAACTTTGATATAATGTCAATAAGATAAAGTGAGCAATGACTTTGAAGCTTGCTTATGGTTTTATATTCTTTCTCAATAAACTATTTCCTTGTCAAGAAAAGATCATGAATTGAGGAGATTGTCTTACCTTGATGTCAGGCATAGCCTTGGTGTCCCTTTCTTTTTTCGTGGTTTGGTGAATGTCTGCATTATATGCTTCAGCCCTGGGCAGGAGCAGAAATTGCTTCCACGTGGATGGCCTGCAAAACTGTTTCTGGAGGCACTCGTGGTTGTCTTGGGAAAGCAGGGGCATGTTTTTACAGTAAAGGCTCCAAATGAGTCCTGTAGCCTGAGTTTAACAACAACAGCCCAAGGTGCACTCTATTTTTCTTTGTTTGGCTAATGCTGAGCCGGCTCAGTCCCCTAGGGATCTCCCTGGAAAGTAGCACTAATCCAAGCAAAAGGATTATCTGTTTTGTGGATCAGCAGTTTATCCACAGCTCTCCAGTGTTCTGTTTCAGGTAGTGCCTCCTATTTGTAATGTCTAGGTGTGTCACCACTGCCCTCTACAGGTAGCAGTGCATTACCAATTAAAATTTAATCCTAAATCAAAACAGAAAGAAATGATTGAAGTGAGCGTGGCTGGTGTGGCTCAGTGGTTGAGAGTGGACCTTTGCAGCAAGAGGTCGCTGGTTCTGTTTCCAGTCAAGGCACATGCCCGGGTTTTGGGCTTGATCCCTGGTAGCGGCATGCAGGAGACAGCCGATCGAGGTTGATGTTTCTATCTCTCTCTTCCTCTCTTTTCTTCTCTCTCTAAAAAACATTAAAAAAAGAGAGAAATGATTCAAGTAATATATTCTTAGTATATAATGACAAAGGAAATAGATTTCTTGGCAGAATTCTGTATTAGCAGTGTGCAGTAGGGAATAGTGCTTGGCAATCTTGGGCTATACGATTCAGAGGGAGATGGTCTGCTTAATCTATTTAGGTTTCTTAAATTGTCATTTTAGCACTAGTCAGCTTAATGGCTAGAAATGTATTCTAAACTCATACCCAAATTTAAGGCAAGGATTATCACTCTTTATATCATGTAGAATTAGTTCAAGTGAATTTCTTATGAGGTAACTAGTTATCTTAATGATTAAGGCAAGACGTGCCTTGTAATATCATACTTCGTATTTATAAAGTACTTTATAAACATAAGATTATTAAACAGAGTGCAAAAATGCACTCCTTTCTCTAAAGGAATATCTAATGCCTGAGTATTCTCTGCTGGGTCTTCTGCTGAGTATTCTGCTGGGAGGCACAGAAGTAAGAGCCCAGGTATGTATAACTAACTGGGGACTATAGACTGGAGAAATTTATTTTTGTAAAATGATCTCAGGTACTCAAACAAGACAAACATAATTCCTATGAACATCTCAGTTAAATTTTTTTGCAAAATTGACAAGTTGGTTATAAAATTCATATGAGATGGCAAGGGACACAGACTATCCAAAACAATCTCAAAAAAGAACAAAGTTGGAGGAGTCACAATTTTTTTTTTTAAATCCTCACTTGAGGATATGATTAGAGAGAGGAAGGGAGAGAGAGAAAAACATTGATGTGAGACAGAAACATTGATTGGTTGCCTTCCTTACACACTCCAATCAGGGATCGAACCTGCAACCCAGGTATGTGCCCTGACAGAGAATCAAACTGGCAACCTTTCAGTCAGTGCATAGGATGATGCCCAACCAACTGAGCCACTCTGGCTGGGTGAGGATTCACACTTTTCAGCTTGAAAACTCACTACAAAGCTACACTAGTTAAGACTATGGTTCTGGTATAAGGATAGATATATAGATCAGTGGAATAGAATTGTGAGATCAGGGATAAATTCATACATATATTGTTAGCTGATTTTTGACCAAGTGCAAAGACAATTCACTGGGGAAAAATGGTCTTTTCAACAAATGATGCTGCAACAACTGAATAGCCATAGGCGTAAAATTAAGTTGAACCTCTACCTCACACCACATAAAAAAATAGCTAAAAATGAATCACTGGTCTAATGTAAAAGCTAAACTATAACACTCTTTGAAGTTAACATAGGGGTACATCTTTGCAACCTTGAATTAGGCAAAGCTTTCTTAGAAACTATACAAAAAGCACAAGTGACAAAAAAAATAAGCAAACTGGACTTAATCAAAATTAAAAAAATTTATTCTTCGAAGGGCATTATCAAAAATGTGTAAAGAGCCCTAGCTGATGTGGCTCAGTTGGTTGGGTGTCATCTCGTGCACCGAAAGGTTGCTGGTTTGATTCCTGGTCAGAGCACATGCCCAGGCTGTAGGCTCAATACCTGGTAGGGGGCTGCAGGAGGATTGATGTTTCTCTCTCTCCCCCTCTCCCTTCCCTCCTCTCTAAAAATCTATTTTTAAAAATATTTAAAAAAGAAAGTAAAAAGACAAGCCACAAAATAGAAGAAAATAATGCAAAGCATTGATACATAATGAGGGACTTGTATCCAGAATACACAAAAAGCTCTTACAACAACAGAAAAGCCCCAACTAAAAATGGGTGTTGCATCTAAATAGACATTTTCCCAAAAATATAAAATGGCCAATAAGCACATGAAAATATGTTTAACATCATTAGCCATTAGGAAAAGGCAAGTTAAAAAATCACAGTGAGAGCCCAACTGGTCTGGCTTAGTGGTTGAGTGTTGACCCATGCACCAGCAAGTCACTGGTTCAAATCCTGGTCAGGGCATATGCCCAGGTTGTGGGTCCAATCCCCAGTGAGGGGCATGCAGAAGGTAGCCAATCAATGTTTTCTCTCATTGATGTTTCTATCTCTCTATCCTTCTCCCTTCTTCTCTTTCTAAAATCAATAAAGAAAAAATTTAAAAAAAATCAAAATGAGATACCACTGCACACCCAATAGGTTGGCTTTAATAAAAAAGACAGACAATAACAAAGGTTAGTATGTAGAATAACTAGGACTCTCATACATTGTTTGTGGGAATGTCAAATGTTGCAACTACTTTGGAAAACAGTTTGTAGTTCCCCAAAATACAGTATTCAGCAGTGTCACCATATGATCTAGCAATTCCCTCCTAGGTATCTACCACAGCAAGAGAAGTAAAACATATGGTCACACAAAGACATGCACACAAATGTTCAACCCATATATATACCCATCAACTGCTAAATAAACAAACTGTGGTATAGCTAGCTATACAATAGAATATTATTCAGCAATACAAATGAATGAATTACTGTTATATGCTACCATGTGGATAAACCTTGAAAACATGCTCAGTGAGAGAAGCCAGTCAAAAGACCACATATTGTATGGTTCCACTTATAAGAAAATGTCCAGCCCTGGCCGGTTTGGCTCAGAGGTTGGAGCATTGGCCTGTGGACCAGAGAGTCCCGAGTTCGGTTTCCGCTAGGAGCACATACCAAAAAAAAAAAAAAAAAAAAAAGAAAGAAAATGTCTAGAATAGGCAAACTTTTAGATACAGAAAGTAGATTAGTGGTTGTCTAGGGCAAGTAGGTTCAGGGAGAGATGGAGAATGACCATTAATGAGTAAGAGGTTTCTTTTTGGGGTGATGAAAATGTTATAAAACTGATTGCAATGATGTATGCACAACCCCGTGGATATACTACAAATAATGAAATTTTCCATTTTAAATGGGTGTACTTTGTGATAAATGAATTTTATCTCAATAAAGCTGTCAAATTTTTAATAAAAAAAAAGAGAGGCAACTTTATCAAGTTACCAAATGTTTCGGGATGGGGCAAAAAACCTTTTGATAGTAAAAAAAAGAAATTATTCTCCAAGGGCACTTGAGTGAAGGTATGGTTGAACTGTCATTGATCTGAGGGTCTAGGGACCTGTGTTTGGTTCTGGACTCTTAGAATGAAACTGGAATAGATGGTATTACTAGTCTCAAACTGATCTGTGCAGGCTTATCTTGTCCTCCTGCCCATTTTGTCTTCTTCATTTTGTGAATGGGGAAACTTGCATGAAATATTAGGTAATATGTCTAAGGGCTACATACAGTCATATAGTTGAGACCAACCTCCACATCTCCATACACATTGCTTTGTGCCACCCTGCAAAGAAAGTGTTTGTGTTTCTCTTTCTATGGATGTCATAGGTCCACCAGCCTTTTACTTGCTCCCACCTTCATTTTTGCACCAACTATTTGGTGTCAAACCTTGGACGAAATATTTTATTTGACCTTTTGCTATTTCTAGCACTTTCCTCATACTTGTAATGATTCTCTTTTTTGGAAACTTTTTTTACTTAAAAACTATTTCTATAAAAATTCTTTCATCTTTTAAAATTTAATTACTTTATCTGAATAAGTCTGCTAATAAAAGGTTGTTCACTCAGTGCATTTAAAATTCTAGTAAACATTTTTCCATATCTGAGGAGGATGTGTGCGTGTGTGTGTGTGTGTGTTAATGCTGGATTGTCAAGAGGTGGAATATAGTATTCCTCTTTTTTCTCTCCTTATCCACCATTCATATCCTTTTTCCCTAATAGCAGCACTCTAGTTTTCTTGGGAAATACATCTATCCCATTCTCAGGCCCTGAGATTTGGATGGGGCTGACTGCATCTAGCTCTGACTCTGTGACTACAACCCAGGCCTGACCAATTAGTGAATTCTGTCCCTATGCCCGCAGAGACTGTTCAAGATCAAACATATGACCTGTCCAATTTTAAACTGGGTAGATTGTCCTTATGGGGCCAATGATGAAGTGCAATAAAATTATGCTACCTGGAAAATACTGAAGCTTGGTTGCTATAAGAATTTAGGGCACTGGTACGGTGTGAGTGAAATTCTGTGTAATTGACTAGACCTGCTTTGGTAGTACCAATGCAATCAGAGACTGTTAAGGTAGTTGGTTAATGTACTTTGTAAAGGGGTCATGGTGTCAACACTCAGTTTTTGTTAGGCCAGAGTTTGTCAACTTCTTGCAAATGCTTATTGTATGAAAGAAAAAAGGAAACACCATTCTTCTATAACACTAATAATTTGTCCAGTGAGCTGAAAAAATTTATCAAAGTCCTTGTTCAACTGAAGGTAGGTTGGAAGCCCAAGAAATATGAAGAAATGACACTAAGTCACTTCATAGTTAAATTCTCAAATCAATGTTAAAGAGAAAAACCTTTAAAATAGAGCAAATAGATACATTAATAAGAGAAGATCATACCTAAGGATAACAGCAGATTTCTCATCAGGAACAATGTAACTATAAAACAGGAGAAACTAAAAGAAAAAAAGTACTATCAACCTAGAATTAAAGTACTAAAAAAAAGTACTGTCGTTAGAATAATTTATCCATTGAAAATAGCATTCAAAAATGAAGACAAAA